GCTGAAGGACAACGTAGCGAGTGTGGAGCTCGTTGTTTCGGCCCTTGAGATCCCAAGGCTACGTCACCTCGCACAAAGATTGCCGGAGGCCTTCACCCACTCGTGCGAGGGCTCGCGACTGTGAAGCGCATGGCTAGTGTTTTGAGCAGCCGCTCCGATGTCGAATTAAGTCAAACAGAATAAAACAAGCCTCGTCAAGCTTCTCAATTGGAACACATCTGATACTGAATTTCAACAAGTGTTCCGGCCCGAGAGGTGGCGAGGCGTTTGGAGCAGCTGTGGGAGCAATGCCAAGTCTACTTCCCGAGGCACCTTGATTTGACAGTGCCGAAACTAGGACTCTGGACTCAGAGCCTTTGGGCCTTCTGTGAAAAGTCGATAAGTTAGCAAGCTGTGAGTATGATCCCGACCAGGAGGTGTGGAGTCTTAAACCCTGGGGCACAGAGGCACTGTTCTTACGACCAAGGCAGGAAGCGGTTAAATGCGTGGAGCAGGAGCAGTAGGAGCAGCCGCAGCAGCAGGGCTAGTAGTTGCTGTCGTTGTGTTCGCGGTCTCTGCCGTCGTTGTTGTGGTGATAGATAACATGCTGGTGGTGTTGTTGCTGCTGGTAATGTTTGTCTACCGCCGTGGCTAATGGTGGTTGCAGTGGTGGCAGGAGGAAGAGAGCCAGGAGGAGCAGCAGGAGGATAAGCAGTTGCAGGAGCAGGACAAGTAGCAGTAACAATACCACAAACACTTGCAGTAGCAGTAGCAGGAGCGGGACTAGCAGCAGTAACAGGAGTAGTAGTGGTAGTCGTCTCGTCGTGGTCGTCGTCGAATGATTGCAGCAGTCGTAGCAGTCGAAGTAACGTTCTAATCGTATCGTAGTCGTGGTGTTAGTAGTAGCATTAATTTAGTAGTTGTCGTAGTAGTCGTAGCAGTAGTCGTAGTGGTAGTGGTAGTGGAAGTGGCAGTGGTAGTGGTAGCGGTGGTGGTAGTAGGAGGAGGAGTAGTAGTCGTGGTGGTGGTGGTGGTGGTGATAGCAGTGGCCATTGTATTCGTGGTAGCAGCAGCAGTAGTGGTTGTCGCTGCTGCCGTCTTAGGCGTCGTCCGAACACACACTCCACCACACAGGTCATGTTGAAGAATCAAGCGTGAACTTCTGTTTGTTACAGCCAGTCGGTGCAGCCGTCGCCGGTCGAAGGCTTCAGGAGCAAGAGGTCCACTTTGGCTTCCTGCGGGCCAGCTTCGAGGCATGAGAAGAACTTTTGTCTACTTCTGGCTTACAGCCATCTGGACTTTTGTGTCCAGGATTGGGGTGCGATTAGGTGATGGTCCAAGGTTTTTCGTGCGACTTTAACTCAGGCTTCTATCATCGGTTGTTTCGGGTTTTTCAAGTTCGGCGGTTTGGGCGACATTTCCATCAACTCTGATTGGGAGGTGTTGAGATTGGACGGATAATTTTCTACCTGCATCACAAGCTCAGAGTGCAAATGTCACCTTCCACCTTGTGGCATGGATCAGACAGATGGCCTAGCACCGTGTTTCTGTGGCGGCCAGAAGCAGATCAGTGCCCCTACGCGAAAACTGGTTAGCCTGGACAGGAAACAGCGTCGATGTTTTTCGTAGTATGCATGTGTCATCCTGCACATCCCGTATTAGACCGAACTCGCCCTTTCAAGTCGAATTGCATCAGCTGCACATCGCCCCTTTCGGATATGTGGCTTCCAACAGAACAACGAGCTGGCGATTTGAAGCGTTGTTGCCCCACTTCGTCGGTAGGCAAGGCAGCCTCAGCATCCAGATAGGCAGCAAAGCAGGGAGCTTCCCAGACGCCCGGATGTATGTGCAGGCCCACAAGCAGCAGATGCTGGACCTGACTGACGGGCTGCAGGATAAGTGCAAGCAGGGCCAAGGCTCGCAGGGACTTCTCGTAAGTGTTGCTTGCTGCTGCTACTGGCTACACCTCCGACAATAATTCGTGCTACCTTCCACAAGTGGCAAGCCGACTTTTGATAAGACTAGTTTGAGAAAATCAGCAGAGGTAGTGGGCAGTGACAGCGATAATAGTGTTGCCCTTGATGATGAGGTTGACTGTCGAGGTCACGAGCGACTGTTTCGACTTTTTCCGACTTCTTCTTTGGGCTCCCCGAGCCGGAGCTTCTTTGTCACCCCTGCCCAGGTACGAAGAAGCCATGGAAGGAGGTTCGCTACCTGACAAGGGTTGTTTCAGGGTCGCAGGGGATCGCGCACAAGGCTTTGTGTCAAGCGACAGGCTCTGTTGAAGTGGGACCAGTAGGATGGTACATCGTATGACCAGTCCGAGCGGAATCTCAAGATCCAAACGGAACACCGGTAGATTTTCCCGAGCGATCCATTCCTCGTATATGCTACTGCTTCATGGATTCGGGCGGCGGCTCAGTGATTTGTATGTTGTTGTAGCTTTGGTACATATACATAGACAGGTACACATACATTGTACACATAGATATCTTTGTACGTACTCGTAGATCGACATATACGTATACATGCATTCGTATGGGTGCATCTGCATAGACATATGAGCCTACATGTGCATGGACATATGCGCATACATGAACATTTTGAATTGTTTCCAGTCTGTTTCCTTCTCCGTTACATTTTAAGAACTCATGAAGTTGTCTTATAGCATGTTTGTCTTTGTACTATATAGTGTCTTCAGTTTTAGTCAGAGTCGTCTATACTCTACTATTTCATATGACATGAAGATATAACATATGATGTATCGTACTAACATGTATGTCCTTCTCGTTTATTATGTTATATTGCATTGCAAAAGCCTTGGCACCTGTACGTGTTCAGCCCCAGTGGAAATCGTTTTATGCACCCCAGGCATCCATTCTATCTAGATTACATCATGCCATAGTACACTATAATTCGAGTTGTAGAGTCTAGTATACCGGACTGTATTGTACTAGAGCGATACTCCGCTCCCCTTCACTCCAGCCCGAGGTGCCGATCACCCGAAGTAGAAGGATAGAGGCTGTTGGGCTTGTCGGCTCTCCAAGCTCCAACGACGTCTCGGACCTTTGAAAGTTGGTATATATGGGAGTTTCCGAAAATAGGGGATCCTAATATAGTACCCCAAAATAAGGTAGCCCTAATTGACAGGCAAGACCGGAGAAGCATGGAATGGGAGTTGTACAGGCAATGGCCATCGAAGCTGGTCCCAGTGGTGGAAGCTGACTGAGGGCAAGGTCTGAGAAGGCCGAAGGGCTCGGCGACCCGGTGCTGTTGGATCCTAGATGCAGCGTTCAAGGGCTTTGGGCTGGGGCACAGGATTTCTGTGCTGTCTGAGAGCAGGACACAGCACTGTGGTCGCTAAAAGTCGGTGTTGCTGGCACTGTTGGCCAGTGGCCCGGAATTGATATCCTTTTTCTCTTTTAAGCCTGTAGTTAGGTTTCTGGATGATGTTGTGATCTGCAGTAGCTTCATCTCCTAAGACGCATGCGGTCGGCGCATCCGAAAAGGTCTGTAAAGCAGCTTGGTCTTCCTTTTCGAACCATGGCAGTCGCCTTGATCCTGCGTCGACGGTTCGTCCTGGTTAGGTGACATCAACAAGAAACAGTAATGAGGTTAGGATGTAGAGCCCTCCCAGTCGAGGGGCGCTGGAAAGTATGCCATGCTTGCATGCTTCTTCGGCTTGTTTCGACTTCCATTGCCACGATGGCTCCAAAGCTTTTCGAGCAAGAGCCTTTGTCTGCAAGAAGTTCTGTCAAACATGGGCCCATTGATTCCCAGTCCCAACCTGCCTAGAACCCTCCCTTTGACGATATGTTCGACATTTCCCCAGCTCAAGAGTCCAGAATTCCTCTAGTGGGTTCACATCCCTTCCAGTGCCAGTATCGGGGCTATGCCCGTGCCTTCTGCACGTCCGGGAGTCGCATCGTTGGAGGTGTCGTTGCCGCTTTGTCCTGGCTGGGTGGGGTAGAGTCAGGGACAGCTTGGACTTCTCTTCCCCACGTCTGTACTGATGTTGCCAATTCTGGATTCGGGGTGACAGCAGGGAGGAGCAGGAGTAGGGAGGAGGAGGAGGAGGTCGTAGTCGTAGTCGTAGTCATAGTAGTCGTAGTAGTAGCAGTAGTAGTAGTAGTACTAGTAGTAGTAGTAGTAGTAGTAGTAGTAGTAGTAGTAGCAGCCGTAGCAGTAGCAGCAGCAGTCGCAGTAGAGGTAACTTAGTTGTAGCAGCACAGGCACAAGCATCTGGCGTAGTGATAGTAGTAGACACGACTTTGACGACTATGGTGCTGCTTTGTGCTACAAATCACCACCTCTGTTAGCACGAAAGCCGCTCAAAACATGACGTCATCTTGTCTCTGCCTGGGGCCTCAAGGGAAACAGTGGATGCTTGTAAGGTACCTTCACGGCTGCAGCTGTCATAAGGGTTGTGACATCAGATTTCAGCCGGGAGGTGCTGCGCGCAAGGGTAGAGTGCGAGTAGCCACATGCCGGTCGGTTCGTAGCACCTCCGCGTTTGTACCAGGGGCATCTCGATGACATTAACTTGCACCTCGGCAGAACCTCGTGAGGGAGAAGCAGAGCTCTGTTGGTCAGGGTTGCAGTACTTCTTGGACCTTTGCAAGTTTGGCAGAGTCTTCGTGTTGTTGTAACTGCCATAGATGCCGTCCAAGCCTCTCCTTGCTCAAGGTCGCCGAGGTCCAGCGACACCGCCCAGGATGAGGCAGGTTTCTGAGTGTTTGCACTGCCGGAGCTCTGTAGCCTGACGTTTCTACGTCTTCCATCTGTCACATAGGTGAATGTAGGCCGGGCGAGCCACAACATTCCTGATGCGAGCGAGACACACTTAGGTTACATCAAAGGAGATAGACAGCCTGAAATCACGAACGCTAGTGGGATTGCATGGCAGGAGAGGCGGGGGAGTGGGGGGAGAGGTCGGATTGGGTTGAACGTTTGATACGATTCAGTGCTTTTTCGTATGTTTTGTTTTGAGGGGGGGGGCGGGCGAAGAGCTTGCATGAGTAATGAGTCCTACATGCTTGGCGATAGAAGTTTGCAACTGGCGCCTTGATCGTTTGACGGGGCTGCAAAAAGCTGCGTTGGAGAGATCCTTCTTGACGAGCCTGTGCCTCCAGAACTTGCTCCTTGTTGCGGTTTCTTTGCATTTGGCGTGCAGGTTTCGAGGTGGCAGCGGCTGCGCTGGTCGCTACAGGCATTTCAAGCCGTGTTCAGGGAGGCTCTGAGGTTTGCAGTCGTGGGAAAGCTCTTGATGTCCCGAGCCATTCGAATTGCATTTTTCTCGAAAGAAAGTGAGCTGTGTTCAGCTTGAGAACGCAAGGTTTCTGGATCGCTTTCGGTGTGGTCAGCATGCCAAGGCGTCGCCTTTGCCTGCACAGGACATCTACGAAGAGCAGAAGACGTGCTTGGACTCCTTCCATGCATTGCTTGAGGGCACAGACTACATCAGCACCTTGGATGGCACATCGATCTTGACCTTTCCGCAGTTCCTGTGAGAGCCCAAGCTTTGATAGCAGAAACCCCAAACTCCAGGGCAAGAACTAACCCCAGAGACAATCCCGAATTCCTGGAGGCCCTGGCAGCCCGGCAGAAGGCGCGACAACACCGGATTTGTGGCCGTAGAATGCAGTAGTAGCGGGATTTTCAGGACATCGAAAAAGCAGATTCAGTTTAGGTTTTCCGCCTAGCATCATGATTCGGACATGTGAACGAAAGTTGTATTGGCATGAGCAGTGGGTCAAGATGTGCACGGTTGGGGTACGGTGTCTTGCATTGGCATCAGCCACGAGGGTTCAAGATCATGAAAGGCAAGGGTGGCGACGGCGACTTCGATGAGCTTAGTAGCCTTCGTGCCGGTGCTGGCGCTGGTGTGGGCGGTGTCTCTGTCGGCGGTGCTGCCGCTAGTGGTGCTGGTCGTGCTGGTGGTGCGGTGGTGCTGGTGGATGTGATGTCCCGTCGGTTTTGACCATGATGGAAGTGTTTGGCAGAGCGTCCGTAATCGTGCTAGCGAGGGTGTCAACCGTACGGACCCTGAATCCCCAAAGAGACAGGAGCGATTGAGCTGATGGGCATAAGTCACAAGTCAGCATGTTCGAGCAGGTGCAGAGTTGGCAGCCGAGTTTACCCAGAGCCGGCTGCCTCGAATGCAGGTGAGGGATGCAGTGCATTGGAGTGTCCCGGGAGTCTGGATCGGAACGGATTCCGAACCAGGGCCGGTCTTGGAACTCGAAGTTTTCAGAATCCTTGAGTGATTGAAAGATGGAAAGGCAGCGGAGTCGAAGGACCGAGTGCTCGTGGGAAGTTCGAACGAAGCTCGAAGCGTCGCAGTCATAAACTGTTAAGCTTTCGAACTGTTGAGCTCGAGCTAGTGTGAGGGCTCGAGATCTTGACGGTTTGAGAGATTGATGCTTCGACAGGTCGCAGGCGAGTTCGAAAGCTTGAAAGGTCGACAGTTTGAGGGTTTGAAGCCTAGAATGCCTAGAACGCTTCAACAGTCGAAAGTTGCGAACCGACTTCGAAAATGTGACGGTCTGCAGAGTTTCGATTTGAGACTCCAAGCTTGAAAGTATGAAAGCTTGAAAGTTTCGTATTTGGCCAAGCGTCCGGTGGGTGTATGTACGTGCCCATGTGTGAAGATGTCAGCGGCAGAATTCACTTGCGACACTGTACGCATTATGGCTGGGCAGGGAGCAAGGACCGTTCAGATCCAACAGCCATAGTCAGTCCTATCACCGCTTCCCAATCCTCTCCAGCGTTCTTTTCACATCGTGAGCAGCATTCTCCACGACGTTCCTGGTCGAACCTTCGAAGTACGGGTGGACAGGCCCTCAAACGGTAGAAGAGTTCGGGTTCTGTTCAGAATTCAGGCTTTCGACGCAAAGGGTTTCTGACTGATTCAGAGTTTCAGAACACGCGAGTTGCTTGACACGAACCCCCCTTGATTCGGAGCCCCCGAAACGGAAAGATCTCATCCCTTTTGCCGTGATTTTGATCGTTTTGGTCAAGTGCCTGGTGGGCTGATTCAGGCTTCTTCTTGGTCCTAGATGTTAGGGTTTAACAGCTTCGGAGACCCCTGTGCCGCCACTGCTCTGATCCGCTATCTTCCAATCTGGAGCCCCGAACCCATCAACGTCGAACTCGACCCGCTCAGACTGTAAGAATCTCAAACCGTCAAGACTGGCAGGGCTGAAACCTCTCAAACTTGACCTCCCTAGGCTGCAGGCCATCTCAAGCCTTCTCCGCTCCTCGAGTTTCGTGCGGCAGCTCTCAACTTCAACCCCAAAATCGCCAACCTGAGCGCGGTGGCGACTTCGACCTTCCGAGGCAGACAAGCAAAGCACCCAATAATCTGCAGGGAACCGTGGCGAGCACGACCGAGGGGCAAAGCATGCCACGGCACCACTATATTGCACGCCATTGTGGCAAGAGTTCGTGCTTTGCCCAGCAAGAGGGCGCCAAATATTCAATGCAGTCGGTATCCCCGCGGAGGAGGAAAACACGGTTTAGGTCCGCAGCACGGTGGGAGTCGCGAACCAGCGCGAATGCCTGCCGCGTGCAGACTCAGTGCCTCCAATGTTGAAAGCTATTGAAGTAGGAAGCCCATCGTGTTACCAGGGTATTTGGGGAAGGCTACATACTTTTTGGCCTCAATCATGAGAATCCAGGAGAAGAACGAGAAGAATGAGCCGGGGAGCCCTGGGACCGCTGGAGGACGGAGTTCTGTTGGACGTACTTCGCGGCAGCCCATCCACAATGCCCGAATGCAGGCAATCGGGTAAGGGATTCCGCTTTGGTTGCAGTGCGAGGTTCGAATGATCCGGTGGCGTTCCTAGTTGGTTCGTCCCCTCGGAAAGGAGGCACAAGTGACTTGAGGATTTTGTGGGGAATGTGTACAGAGATACTGGTGTGATGCTCCTGCGAGCATGCACGCAGCATGCCTCATCCCCCGAGGACAAGTTCCGGGTGTAATATTGGTCTCGGGTAATAGAACAGATTTCAAAAAACTTGAAGCACCGCCCATATGAACTCGTTAGCACCTTCGTGGCTTCCTCTCTGTCCGCTTCTCAGCTTGTGTTGCTTCCGCTCCTCCTTTTCCTTCTCTATCTGTGCCTTCTCTGCTTCCCTCTTCTCCTTAGCAGCCTTTGCATCCAGTGCCTTGGCGGTCCCCTTTCTGTTTTCTTAGGACTTGTCTTTCTTTCCCTTCTTTCCCTGCTTCTTTGCACTTTTGGACTTTTTGTCCCTTCCTACCCTTTCTCTTGTACTTCTTTGCTTTGCTTGCACTGCTGAAAGAGCTGTCCTCGCCCGCTCTTAGACTCAGACCTTGTCCTCTTTGTTCTCACATGACCCCCACTCTTTCATGGATTTGCCTTCGTCGTTCATGTGGCTCGCCATGGCTCGCCGTCGTCGTGCTGTGTCGTGATCGTACCTCCTCGAAGCAGGAGAAGTGTCTGTGAGGTTCTGATGGTATTTCCATCATCGAATCTCTGTTGGCAATCAGAACCTGGACCATCTGGACCCTCCAGCCCACACGGGGAGGCCTTCATGCGGACCTCCCGCCAGTTCTCACGGACGGCTTTGGTCGAGGCCACAAGCCTGGGCTTGGGCGGCGAGTGTCCGAAGTGCCAGGAGCGGGCGAGCACGAGGGAATGAGAGGCTTCAGGTGTAGCTGCAGGACGAGGAGGTAGCTCTTGTTCCACTTCTGTTCGGTTTTGGCCTGTTAGGCGGTTTAGCAAAAGAAAGGAGAGCTGAGTGGGATTCACACCCCATGCTTGGAATACTGCTGAGGGGACTTCCGGGTGTTGCGATAGCACGAAAGCTGGCAGAGGAGCTTTCAAAACTTTGGGTAGTTGTTCTCCTTTCCTGGTCGTCCCCCTCCCGAACGTGCTATACTGACGAGCATCATGACCTTCCCAGCTGGCCCAGAGTCAGCAGTTAAGAAAGACAGATTCCACCTTGGAGACAGTTAGAAGGCTATCATAAATGTCTAGCGGCCTAGCTGTGACCCTTCCTAGCTGTGACCCGTCCGATGGATACTCAGGAGTCGCGAACGCTCGGGATCCCGAAAGCGGGTGCCTGCGAGCATGGGGCGTCCAAGGCATGTGGGAAACTCACTGCCCTACATACTGCCCTGGAGACCAGGGGCCAAAGCCTAGAGTAAGATCTAAGACGAGGATAGATAAATCCGGGAGTTGCTCCTCCAAGAGCTCTGCTGTTATTGAAGAGTTTCTAGTGCCTCGGGAGCAGGAGGTGAGCCAAAATCCTACCATGGGCAACACCAACGCGATAAACGTCCGCGACCTCATCAGCTCTCGAGGCCTGCCAAAACCCCGTGCCCCGTGCAGGACTTTTTTTTGCAACAGACCACTCCCAGGTACGGCAGACTCCGCGATGTTTGCGCGAGGCTTCGAGCGTTCCTGTTTGTTGGGGTACGTGCGGACATGAAACATCAAACTCATGCATACTCTCAGCCGTCGCACCAGTGGTATCAAATCCTGTCAAATCGTACTCTCCCCCTCAGAGGTTCCATATGGGAGAAGCTCTTCGCAGAAGAGGCAGAGCAACGTTCGCTCAGGTTTCAGGGAGCTTCGGGGAAGACCTGTTGTACTATACCAGGTAGCAGAGTCCTGCGGTGCTGAAGACAACATGTTCCTTTTTTGTGCCTTGCGGCACCGTCCGGACCCGCCTCGCAGAACGTCACAGCGGCTACAATCCCCACGAACATTTTGCTGATGCTGGCCCACGTTGTCCGGAACAGCATGGGAAAGCTTGAAAAACGCACAAAAGAATGTTTCCAGGTTTCGACGGTCTCCGGTGTTTTTGAGAGAGCTTTCCCGAGTTTGCGCAGCGCAGGTAAACACCGCCAAAGGAAACGAAGCCTTAGCTGCCCTTGCCGACTTGATCCAAACGAAAAGAGACGGCTCGCTGGACGCAGCTCTTTCCTCTTGGCTTGGCTCAAACTTCGCCTCCAAAACCAGGGCGGACACTCTCGGCTCAGGGGAAAGGTGTGGGCTCTGCGGGTGGGCCTGTGTTTTCCGGGGGCTTCCGTTGTGCTGCTTTATTCCATGTTTTTGCCGCAGCCGAAGCTTCGGGTGCCGGAAGGAGTACTCCGCCTTTGGGGAAGACCATCACCATCACCAGGACCACCACAGCCTCTGGATCCACATCAGGCTTCCTGGCTGGAAAAGATTCTACCCCGGCTTTGCTGGATCACCTTGTCTCCCTCTCCCGCTGAGATACTGGTGTTACCGTGTGGCGTCGAAGAAGATCTTTGACTACATCATGGGTGTCATCATTCTGGCGAATGCCGTGTCTGTCGGCCTTGAGGTCCAGTATTCGCACGGGTCCCAGGCTTTTTGGAGCCTCCAAGAGGAGCCCAAGTATTCCAAACTTGAAGCTGCAAGGCTGCAGAGCGGGGAGGACACAGGCTGGATGTACTGGCCACCTGGCAGTGCTGCATGCATTAGTGAGCCTTACTGTCCTCATAGTTCCATCCACAGTTCCCAGTTTCAGATGTTGATGTTTCAGTGGGCTCATTGCGCGACAAAGGCTGGATTTTTCCTTTGTGATGATCTACATTCTGGAGTTTCTGGTCCGTTTGCTTGCATGGGGTCTGCGCAAGTGCTTCAGCGATCCTTGGCCAGGGCCTGAGAGTGTGTTTCATGCATGACTCAGCCTCTTATCTTCTACTCTAGGGGCCTTCATACTTAGAATGGGGTTTTGGAGCCCATTATACTATAGTTACTATAACTACAATAAGGAACCCCCAAAATAGTGTTGCGGGAGGACTTCTTTTGGGAGGCGAAAACTCCAAAGATCCGGGGCGGGGGGGGCCCCAAGTGACCAGTTGCTGAGGTGTCTGCTCGACTTCGCCCTGGTCTGTGTGGGGGTGCTCAGCCTCATTGCCCAACCTCTGGGTCTTCAGGTGAAGGCCCACCTGCGTTCTGCATTAGAAGTTGAAGTTGAAGTCTTCGGACTGGGTCTCCTGGAGCTTTCACCGCTCTCAGGAGCTCGAGTCGCTGCTGGTCGTTCGCTCGCTGCGGCTCGTGCGCCTCATTCGTGCCCTGCGCTTGCTGAAGCAATTTCGGACCGTCCCTTGGCATCGATGTCTAAAGCAGAGGTGAAGCCGGAGTTACACAGCTTCTGAGTGTAGGGGTCGTGTTCTGCCGGCAGGTCTGGAGGCTCGTGAACGGCCTGCTGACCTCTGCGAATGCAATGGTTTCGACGCTGGTGCTGGTGGTCCTAACGCTGTATATCGCCGCCTGCCTAGGCGCAGCTTGTGTGCGCGTACGCGTGTTCGTGGGTGCGTGCGGGCGTTCGTGCGTGCGTGCGCGTGTGCGTGTGTGCATTCGTGTGTGTGTGTGTGTGTGTGTGTTTGTCTGATGACATCACAAGTTTCCTACCTGGCAGGCATCGAAATCATCACCAAGGATACCGACTCCTGGTCTCTTTGGAAACTGGCATGCCGGATCTAGTGCGGTCTGAGAAATCTACAGCTGCAACGATCGGTACTTGTGCAACCCGAAACCTGAACGAGTTTTAATCTCGACCGGCACGCCCCCTAACCCTCAACTTCCGTAAACACTCAAGTTGCGTTCTGGATAATCTCTGAGAAGACACCACAGCTTTGCCAAGGACCTCAACCAGATGCATACGGAGACGGGAGACATTGTGGGCAAATACTTCGGAACTCTGCCCAGCACCTGGGAACCAAAATGGAGTCGCTCCACACTGATATATACTATACACCGCAGAGTTTAGTCTTTGTCCCAGCCTGCCGTTTTCAGAAAGTACAGCCTTGGGCTTGACCTGGGCTTGCAGCACAGCTCAGAGTTTCCCTGAGCCTCCCATGCCAGGCACGCTCCTAACTCTGGCATCGTCGCTTGGGTGCATAGAGTCTACACGTAACACGACGATTCCAGTGTGGGATCCCTCGTGTGTCCAACACCGCGAGCTGATGAAGCTTAGGTTCGTCACATTGGACTCTGTGGCTCCGATCTACTTTCCTCTCATCCTCCACAAACCCTTACTGGGTTTGTTGCTGGGCCTGATACGGTTGACACCAGCTTGGGTGCATTGCTTATGGACACTTCTTCTGCCCAAGACACGTTCGTGAATGCCCAGGTATTTCTTCTTTATCATCCTGTTCGTGTCTATCGCTCTCATGAACTTGGTGACTCGGCGAATGAAAGTGCGTCCTGTGTTGGCCTGTCAAAGCGGCATGCAACGTGCGTTACGACAGTGATATTATCGATTTGATTTCAATTCTCAGGTGACGGCCGTGCTGGTTGAAGGCTATGAGGGAGTTCAGCTGTGCGAACGTGCAGATACTGTAGCATCGAATGTGACTTTCGAAGCACACGGTGCAGGCATACGTTTGCTCCGTTTGAACTGCTGCAGCGGTGATGGCAGCTGTTTTATGAAGCGTAGGCCCAGACGTAGGAAGCAAAAGACAGCAAGTCCATGGCAGAGGTGCGCTGGAGAATGCCTCGGCTGACAAAGAGCTGGAGAAGCTCGACCTACAGGTGACGGCTTGCCTCTAGAACTTGCCTTCGCCGATCAGCTACAGGTGTAACAGTCAGCAGTCAGCACATGGTGTCAAACTGCTGTCTCGTGGTATTCACGCTCTCAGATTCGTGAAGAGGAAGCGAAGTCTTTAGCATGTGCAGGAGAAGCTGAAGAGCCAGATGCCGCGGTGCCGCGGCAGCGACGTTAGAATTCACGCATGTTGTTGTGGCCTGAAAGGTAGAGTGAGAATTGACATCTCTGGAGATGATGCAGTACAGTAGTGGTTTAGTCGTCGGATCGTAGTACTAGCTGCGGCAGTAGCAGCAGCAGCAGTATAGTGGTGGCGCAGCAGAAGCAGCAGCAGGACTAGGAAGAGGAGGAGGAGGAGGGGGAGCTGGAATACCATTGATTTCTGACAAGGCTTCTGCAGATCTTCAAGGATATCGACAAGGACTCGGGTCGAATGATGGTTTGTAGCCTGTGGAATGCCTTGTCTGTGGCAGGACGGCTCCGGCACGTTGACCATGGAAGAGATGGCCATGGTACCTGTGTTCTGGCATGATTCGTTTGAAGGGTGCAGATGCAGGAGAGGTGGAGTGCAGGAGAGGTGGAGTTGAGGAAGCGCCAAAGGTCACTAACTACAGGTCTAACTACGAGAAGCGTACATTCGCGTCCGAGCCTTGTCCACCAAAGGTGGATGTCATTCCTGCAGAGCTGCGCACCAAGAGCCGAGTGTCTTCAATGCAGGAGGCGTGACTGGACCAGCCGCCAAAATGGCTGAGATTGATTCCATCCAACAGCTCCGAGGGTTGACCTAGCGAGGCCTTTTCAAGATAGGTGTTTCGTCGCCTTTCCATCCCTCGCATCTAGTTTCTTGCGGGAGTCCTAGCTCGAAGTCCCGGTCCCTGATGGCAGAAGGTCCGGTTGTCCACGGTTAAAGCTTCTGACTGGTTGGGGCCTGAGAACACACGCGGGCATTTGGGTCTCGGGGCTCCTTGCTAAGCAGGTGATACGACGGATACGAGCTGCTTGTGTCACAGATGCAACGTGCATTGGACCGGGCAGGTGTTCGAGATGCTGGATGTGGACGGTGGAGGGGAGCTAACCAGAGTGACTTGCCTGTGCAGCACATGCTTCCAGTCTGTAAGAGTTCAAGTCACCAATGAAGCAACCCAACGCGTCAATGGGAATACGAAGGCCCCGAGAGCATTCCGATTTCTCAGAGACTGCCTTAGTCATTTCGTTAATTCGCGGGCTTTCAACGCTGAACTGCAGGTGGAATGTGATCAGAACTTATTGGAGAATTTAGATACGAGGGCAGGCGCATCAATGGTGATTGTAGTCGGAATCGAAATAATCGCGATGCAAACTTCCTGAGAAGAATATCGTGCAAACTCCGTTATCTACTCAGGAAGAGTTCGTTGATGGCCTGCTGCCACTTGGCTTCATCGTGCAATCTATTGTCACCTGAGTGCAAGTGTGTCAACCGACTAGTCACTCCTAACATAACATTGCCAGGCCTTGGTAATTTTTCGTGAATCGCACAGTAAGCAGGTGCGACCGAATGATTGAACTTCCTTGAGCACTCACGCCAGGATTAGAACTTGTTGAGAACCCGCGATCGCCCAAATGTCTCCAGCAACCAAGCTGGAGCGAGGCACCGCGGAAGCACCGAGGGGCGTCTGAATGCAGCGCCTACGTCCCCTTGAAACCTACTTGATCCTACCTGTAGTACTTTGCACTTGTTGCAACTTTTGGAAAAGGCGCATTTTGTGGGGGGTTGGCTCAGTTTGAAATAGTTGGGCAAGTCGGGCTCCAACTAGAAGAAAGAGCCATGCTCTCGGACAAATTTGGAACAAATGCAAGTTCCATCCCAACACCGAATAAGTCCGTGCCTATGCGGGCACGCCAGTCCACAGCGACATTCGCTGCGTCCCACTTGTTATTGGCACAAGGTTTGCTTGCCACAGGAAAGGTTTGCTACAGAGCTTACACAAACGCTGCAAGCACAGCATGTGCGCAGGCTGTGTCCCCGTGCCGAACATGCGCACTCTGGAGCGTACCTCTCTTCTGTTTCTTGACTTTCCTGTTGTATGCATCTCCCCGAGCCGTGTGTTTGGCTACCACGTGTGGTAGGCTCAGGGGCACCGTCACAGGCTTTGGCTGCCCCTGACTGATGGTGCTCCGGAGGCGGACCAACCCACACACGCCAAAGCTCCTAGGCTGCGGAGGTGTCCTGCTGGGCCTTGCCTTGTGCTGCTACTTGCTGCTTGAGTGCGCTGCTGGGCCTGGCGCCGTTGGCGCTGCTTGCGACTTGGGTGCTCTGCTTGGCTGGGCGCCGTTGGTTTTGCTGGCTACTTAGGCGCCAGTAGCAGGCGGAGAGGGCCTATGCAGTCACTCCTCCACAGAAGCTCGGTCAAGCCGCGTATTCTGAATCCGGGCTCGAATATCCTGGCTGCCTGTCACCTCCGCCACCTCCCCACTCCACCCTTAGCAGTCACCCGGCGCTTGCCAGCTTGAACTCCAAGTGGAGGGGGCGATAACGTTTCAGAGTCTTCTGCGAAAGCGGGAGGGATAGTTCTCCGGCACGGCATCCTTGTGGATGCCACTCACTCACTCACTCACTCACTCACTCACTAACTCACACTCGCTCTTACATGCATCTGCATACATATGTATATGTATATGCATCTGTTTTTTGTATGTGTATGTGTAAATGTATATGTATATGTCGTATATGTATATGTATATGGATAACACACATGGCTGCTTGTTTCTATGTATTGACATCTCAGTACGCATGTGTGGATTGGCTGGTGGATGGGTGGCTAGAGGGATGTACACGGCGAGGTGTATGTGTGTGTGTGTGTGCATGCATGTACGATGGCATGTCTTATGATCTTCCCCAGTCTACCTTGTCAATGTCCGCAGTGACTGGTGATATAGGGGCGTACATCATTACGTGGTAGCAGACAGTCTCTTTTACTCGAAACTTGCACCACTTCTTTCGACGAGAAGCAGTGAAATCTTCATGAAATTGACGGCTCCCGTGTTCAGGAGGCCTGCGATTGTAAACGGCCCTCTGATGTCCCGTCGTTGAAGATAGAGATTCAGGAATGGCCAATCACCAAGAAGAGAGGAACAGATGGGGACGCTCTTTCAATCTCTTTACCGGTCAGTTCTTGAAGTCGGACCCGCCTCGTTTTGCTTAGCTTAACAGCAAAAGCTAGTACACCGAAACCTGGACACAGCAGCCGTGTGGAACACAAAGGCATCTGTCATCTGATGATTCCGGTTTTCAGGCAGTGCGGGTTGGCGGACGAAGTCGTCGTGAGTAAATGAGACGAGCCGGGGGGAGCCCAAGCACTCCACGCAGATGTAGGAAAAAAGTTTTGGTGTGTAGTGAGATCGATACAGATGTACATGCGTACATGCATGCATAAATGCGTGTAGTAGATTCGTTGGTTCGTTCGTTGATGCATGGATCATGCATTGGCATGCTTTCATGCATTCATTAATTCATCCATTCATCCATACATTCAATCGTTCTTCTATCCGTCCATCCATGCATGCATTCTTTTATTCCTTCGTGCATTCATTCATTTATTCATTCATTCCTTCCTTCCTTCCTTCCTTCATTCATTCATTCATTCATTCATTCACTCATTCACAGATACTCGTATGTTATATGCAATCGCATACATGTAATGAAGATGTCTGTCTTCAGGAACTTGTTCATGCAAGACGTGCCGGTCGCCACAATTCAGACTCTGCGACTGCTTCGATCAGTCGACGCCCGGGTTTGGCGATTGGGCGAGGAGCCGTTTGCGGAACATATTTGATATCTTGGTTGCGCTAAAGCTTGCATAGCATTGCATTTGCTGGAGGATCTGAGAGTCAAAGAGGCCTTCCTGAAGAGACACAATGCGCACGGCAGGGCTTCAGCAGAGGGATTGTATATATGGATATATATATATACACATATACATATATATATATATATATATATATATATATATATATATATATTCGAGTTGGAAGAGATGCATAACGTGTAGAAAAGGTGTGATTGCATCCCTGTGTTCGGAGCTGTGAAGATATGCATAACTGAAAGAATTCGAACATCCGTCTGTGAGGAGCTCTGTGACGTCCGTGTTTTGGTCCAGGGCCACACGCCCCGACGGCGCCAAAACAGGCTCGTCAGACCAGGGCTCTGAGCTTCGAGCCCTATAGATCCCTTTAAAGGAACCCCACTTATAACCCTACACAAAACTACCCTTGAGGGTTTCTCCAGGGTTTCAACGTACTTGAACACTACACGCAGGAGCCCTGGGACCGGGATCTTTGTCTGTAAACCTCATGCCCGCACTGAAGATTTGAACGACTTCCTGGTTTGGTGATGTCCAGGACCTTCAGAAGGGCATAAATAGCACAGAACACTGAGACAGATTGGACTTTGACCTTCACCGCCCGAAGCAGCAGCAAGCGGAACAGCACCACCAGCACCACCATCACCAGCATCAGCACCGGCACCAGCAGCACCACCAGCACCACCAGCACCAGCAGCATCACCAGCACCAGCACCAGCAGCAGCACCACCAGCCGCAGCCGCCCCGTGGCGAGCACCATTATTAACACCATCGAAGTAATGAACATGTTGATGATACAACAATATCACGATTCCCCCCTGCTTGTCTAGGCTCAAGGTGTGCGATGTTCTCGGGCCAGCCATTCTTGAATGCATGTGAAGCACCACAAACTTGCAGCGTAGCTCCAAGTACTTTGCCAAGAACATCTCCTGCTTTCCGCACATGCAGTGCTCCATATGCCTTTGTTTACAGATACTACTCGTGCTGCGACGTCGCGACTCGACATGAGAATGCAGATGTAGTCAGAACAAGTTCTGGCAGGATGACACAAGCCTGGAATGTGCTACAGTTATGCTTTTGCATGCTCAGTTCTAGCACTTGCGGCATTGCTGCTGAACTTGCCGCATCCTTCCCATTCTTCGACGTTACCGGGATTCGACGAAAGTGCCGGTACAAGAACACCTCGATCATATCACCGGCGGAGTTTGTAGATAAGTCTCATGATGTCTCGCTTGGCTACCCAGTTGCATATCGTAGCATCGTCCGCTTGCTGGCTCTGAGCCTGACGGGATCGCTACGGCCAGACCGAAGAGATTTCCCTTATGCGCGGCGTTTCTGTGGCAGCGACCATCCGCTGAACCACGGCTACACTATGGTTGGTATGCTCCGGATGCAGAACGTGGCTCAATTGGTACTGGATGTGGTTCAGCATGATATCCCAGGTGGCTTCGTTGAGGCCGGTGTTTGGAGGGGTGGCACCTGCATTTTTGCGAAGGCTCTGTTCAACCTGCTAGGAGAAGTTAGACGTGAGGTCCATCTCTTTGATGCCTTTGAAGCCATGGGTACATACGGAAAGAAAGCAGAGCGGCTACATGTCGACCTTGAGTCGGTGCAAAAGAACTTTGAGCTTTTCGGGGTCCAGGATGAGAGAGTAAAGTACCACCAAGGCTTGTTTAAGGAGACGATGCGCCAATTCTGGCAAGACCATTCCAAGTCTGACCAGAAGATTGCCATTTTGCGCATCGATGCAAACTTCTACGATTCGCATCAGGATGCCTTGTATTATTTGTACAACTTCGTCCCGGTCGGCGGTTATGTCATTTTCGACGACCTTTTTAGCTTACCCGATGTCGGACGTGTTTGGAGGGAGTTTCGGCTGGACCAGAATCTTACAGAAAGGATCATCCGAATCGACCGGCATAGTGGCTACTTCAAGAAGGCAAGGATGGTCCCTGTGAACTTCAAGAAGATGCGAGCTTCCAAAGCTGAGATGCCGTCCTGGGCGCTCTAAGCTGGCATCAGCGGTGCACTTGCAAATCAGCTGTCAGGTTCGTGATTTTTGCGTATGTATCGCTTCAATAGCAAGGTTAGCAGGAGGAGTAGTTTGGTAATGTCAGCAGCTGTCGTTCTCCACTCGGAAAAGCTGCAGCAGCAATCCCGAAACGAAATTGAAAGGTCAAGTCACAGTTGCCTCTGGAACTACGAACTTGCTGAAGCATGGAAGCAATCAGGGAGCACAACTATGCCCCGTCTCTAGTTCTAAACGGTGTGACTCGGAGTTTCGATTGCATTTGGGAAATTTATCCGTCATAAGTTCTTCCGTTTCGTGGGCTCGCCGCAGGTGATGTATCGCAGAGTGCTGAGGCTGTTGCCACCTGAACAGCGTGAGACGACTTCAGGTTCACAAGCCGTTTTACTGCGGGCCTGGCACCGTCGTGTCATGAACTCGTGCATTGATAGTTCCGAGTACAACAGCATGCAAGGTCCCGAAAGTGGGATGCTTCAGACTAGGATCGTTACGTCATGATACGTCAGGCAGGGCAACCGCACCAGCTCCGAGCTTTTGAAATTTCTGAAAGTCGCGCCGCCAAAGGTGTTTCAACTGTTTAACTTAAACTCGCTCCCGAGTTACACAGAAAAAGTCAGCGGCAAACCAGGGTGCTTTCTGAACTTGAAGTTCTGCTTTTGTACTTCGCGAATACTCGGCAGTGTATCCATACTCGAGGTGGAGCATCCACAATTGCCTTCCTCCGCCCTGTGCCGCTTTTGTCGGTGTCCAAATTCCAAGGTTCCAGGTACTTCTTAACCGGAACCTGTTCAGATTGAATGAGGCTAATGGGCCTGAGGTTAAGGGGTTAAGCCTCGTCGTACTTGTTGCTTCAGTGAGCATCATTGTGGGCGAGCTCGCAAGTTTGATTCGAAGCCTTTCCCGTTCCCGCGGGACGACGAAATCCCCAAATTCCTGAGCCCACATCCCAACCGTGCTCGTGGCTTGCAGTGTGCAGCACAGTTTCCCCCCTGCCTCTTGCGTGCATTGTTCCCCCGCATGATGCACAAGGTGCCGGCCCTGGGATGCACCGTTAGCTGGAGGGAGGGCGTGTAGGGCGTATACACCTGTAGCCTTCTTGCATAGAAACTCAAAAGCCGGATTTCTTTCAACGTGCTGGCAGGGCTACGGGGCTTGTGATTGAATTTCCGTGCTGATGAGCCGTCTGGTACAGGAATCCCGGAACCTAGACCACAGCTGCCTAGGTGCTCTGCAGGACCCTGTCCACGCCCATCCAGCCACCAGCTCAGACTCTGCAGATCTGGGATTTCAGCTCGCAGATGCGAGTTTCTGCCCAGCAAGTTTCGTTTGGAGTTCCATTTGACAACGGTTTTCTTGGGCGTCAGCTTCGCAGACGCGAACTAGTGTTGAGCAAATCTGTCGGTAGTAGTATTACTTCGGTGTGTTTTATCGGGGCGGTTTTGTCTTTTATATCATTTTTGGGCCAAGCAAGCAGGCAAGCCAGCAAGCCAGCAAGCCAACAAGCCAGCAAGCCAGCAAGCAGGCAAGCACGCAGGCAGGCAGGCAGGCAGGCAGGCAGGCAGGCAGGGGAGCCTGTCTTTGCACCGGATGTCGTCATATGCCGGTCTGTATGCCAAGCCCGTCTCAGAAGAACGGCTTGCCAGCGAAACTGCGAACGGCTGAAGTCAGTTGTCATTGGATCCCTAAGTTGCTGGAACCTCACCAAAGCCTTCACCTGCCGGAACTTAGGTCCCTAAACAGTGCTAATGCCATATGCGTTGCACGAGGTTTCCGCCGTGTACGGGCCATTCTGTAGAAAATGCCATACGAGGGGCGTAGTTCGAGATGAGAAGCAAACAGAAAGCGGATGAACAATGCAAGACCGCCCCGATAAAAAAACACGGAAGTAATCTTGCGACCTCTCTGGTGTTCGACTTGAGCTTTGTGGCAAGGCGCCGCGCCTTCTCGCAAAGCGCCATCGTGGGCACCCTCCAGTCCAAGATCAAGGTGGCCTGCCTCGAGAGGGGGCCTGGCGAGAGCTCCAAGCTAGCTTCCTGAACACAAACAAATATGTAGGCTAACCATTGGTAGATTAGTGTTTCAGCGGTTCCATGGCAGGGTGGACACGACTTGAATGTTAACCAGTCTAACCTCAGCATGACTACGAAGCCGTCAACGACTCCTGAAGGCGAAGACCCTAGCAACGGCATCGCGCATTGTGCTGTTGCCAGAAGACTGAGAGGTTATATTCTTCTTCGTGAGGCTATGGGTCCGAGTCGGACGTGCCTATTGCGGAGATGAATTCTAGGGGAAGTGCAGATCCCCAGTTTGCGCTCGCGATCCGCTCAGCAGTGCGCGGTGCAGTAATCTGGGCGATCGCACGTAACGGAGGAAGAACCACAGAGAGCGAACTGGCAGCGCCATGCGCAAAAGCCATCCCTATGGAGCACATCCCCGTTCAAAGCCAAAAAGGCAGTGTCTAGCAGAACAGCCGTTCTCCAGCACTCACTTCAACAAACGAAGCATGGAGCATCTGAGCTCTTCAAGCCCAAAACAAAAGGGTCCTGATCAGACCCCTACGCGGAAGGTACCCGCAACTAAAGACTATTTGCTCAAAAGAGCAAGACTCAACGCACTAGAGATTCAAACGTCACTGCATCGCTGCACCACCCAGAGCCTATTCCTCTCGGGATTGGGAGAGGCAAACTGCAGAGTTAATCCCACGCAATCATAACACAGGTCCTCACGGATATGGTGAGGCCTTCCTTGCACAAGGCACGTACCCTAGATGTCAAACACCTTGGAAGAGGTGATATATGGACATCAAGCAAACAAGCGCGTGGCAATTACTGACAGGTCCACTGCGCAAAAATACTATTCAGCATTGCGCCTATTCCTCCAGGGGCGAGGGGAGGCCAACAGCAAAGCAACACCCCACACGATTATCACAAAAGAACCGTGCCCACTCAAGACATGCGTGTATGCACAGTGACAGCGTTTATGCAAGCATGCATGCCGAGCTAAATCACAACTAGGCAGGGGCTGATGAAATGAAGATTCAGCAATCATTATACACGCCGGTTGTATCAGTTGACTATATTTCTTTGTGCCTCACTAACTGCTCACTGGCCTTTGGGCCGCGTAGTAAGACTGAATGACCTGTCACGGTTTTGGGTAGTTGGCTGCCCTCCAGGCTCCGGTTGAACTCATACCCAAACGTCAAATTACGCGGGCTGCTGGATGGTGGGGTCCTCCTGGCTCTGGTTGAGCTCACAGCCAGACAGCAAACTCCGCAGGTTGCTGGGTGGGTAGTTGGCTGCTCCCCAAACTACGGTTGAACACATAGCCAAACGTCGAACTCCGCAGGTTGCTCGGTAGTTGGCTGCTCTCCAGGCTCCGGCTGACCGCATGGCCAAACGTCAAACTCCGCAGGTTGCTGGGTAGTTGGCTGCTCGCCAGGCTCCGGCTGAATGCATAGCCAAACGTCAAACTCCGCAGGTTGCTGGGTAGTTGGCTGCTCTGCAGGCTCCGGTTGAACGCATGGCACACTGTCAAACTGCGCAGGCTGCCGGGTAGTCGGCTGCTCTCCAGGCTCCGGTTGAACGCATAGCCTATCGTCAAACTCCGCAGGTTGCTGGGTAGTTGGCTGCTCTCCAGGCTCTGGTTGAATGCATAGCCAAACGTCAAACTCCGCAGGTTGCTGGGTAGTTGGCTGCTCTGCAGGCTCCGGTTGAACGCATAGCCAAACATCAAACTCCGCAGGTTGCTGGGTAGTTGGCTGCTCTCCAGGCTCCGGTTGAACGCATAGCCAAACGTCAAACGCCGCAAGTTGCTGGGTAGTTGGCTGCTCTCCAGGCTCCGGTTGAACGCATGGCCAAACGTCAAACCCAGCAGGTTGCTGGGTAGTTGGCTGCTCTCCAGGCCCCGGTTGAACGGATAGCCAAACGTCAAACTGCGCAGGTTGCTGGGTAGTTGGCTGCTCTCCAGGCTCCGGTTGAACGCATTCATACGCATTCTCAAACGTCAAACTCAGCAGGCTGCTGGGTAGTTGGCTGCTCGCCAGGCTCCGGTTGAAAGCATAGCCAAACGTCAAACTCCGCAAGTTGCTGGGTAGTTGGCTGCTCTCCAGGCTCCGGTTAAACGCATGGCCAAACGTCAAACTCAGCAGGTTGCTGGGTAGTTGGCTGCTCTCCAGGCTCCGGCTGAGCGCATGGCCAAACGTCAAACTCCGCAGGTTGCTGGGTAGTTGGCTGCTCTCCAGGCTCCGGTTGAACGCATAGCCAAACGTCAAACTCCGCAGGTTGCTGGGTAGTTGGCTGCTCTCCAGGCTCTGGTTGAATGCATAGCCAAACGTCAAACTCCGCAAGTTGCTGGGTAGTTGGCTGCTCTCCAGGCTCCGGTTGAACGCATGGCCAAACGTCAAACCCAGCAGGTTGCTGGGTAGTTGGCTGCTCTCCAGGCTCCGGTTGAACGGATAGCCGGATAGCCAAACGTCAAACTGCGCAGGTTGCTGGGTAGTTGGCTGCTCTCCAGGCTCCGGTTGAACGCATAGTCAAACGTCAAACTCAGCAGGCTGCTGGGTAGTCGGCTGCACGACATGGCGAACCCCGCCCCGAAGGGCCTAGTGGAGTTCTGGGGTCCCGGGCAATGCAGATCCGCTTTGGATCGCTCGATCCCAAACCCTGAAAGGATTATATATACATATATATATATATATATTTTTTTTTAACACACAAACACACACTTCATCGATGAGTATATGAGGCTGCTGAGGATGTTGATGGAAATTCGAACACGCAGCTGCTTAAGCAGGCAGTTTTGAGTTCGAAGGAAGGACACAGCATCTACAGTAAGTAGAGCTTGCCGCAGTTTATTCTGCTTCAGCCGAGAAAGCTTCTCGTTTCCTGCTGTTATTGTTGTTTTGGGAATCGCGTCCAGCCCGGTCTCGTTGCGACCTCGCCACTGTTTTGTCCTGTACATGCGGCATCCTCAGACTTGCGTTTGTCCACAAACTTCCCAAGTTACAGCACATGCTTGGCACTTCAGCCACCCTTCTTGACGCTTATTCGAGCGCTCTGCAGGCGCTGGCTGACAAGAAGACCCCGCAGTTCGTCGCTTTGCGGAAGGCACTCCCGTGGAAAGCTCTGAGTCATAGCCTCGTCCGTGGGAGTCGTAACGGTTGCTAGCTCTACAGGCCCTAGGCCGTTCTGGCCGCGCAGATGTTTTGCCCTCGCTTGGTCTGCTGCGAGCTTGTCACCAGCTCGAACCTGCTTCCTGATGCTGCCAGGAACATGGAGACAAGTCCTTGGGAGACTCGACTGTCGGACAGCCGCACTG